AACTCCCAGAATTCCCCAGCCAGCTGGCTGGGGAATTCTGGGAGTTGAAGTCCTCCAGGCTTCAAGTGGCCAAGGTTGGAGACCCCTGCTTTAGGGACTCCCAAGATTACTGCAGTGAGTTGGCAAGCAACCCCTCGTTCAAAGCTCTGGTGCCATCAAGCTGGATGGGCTTCACAAGGGGAGGGAGGTACCGATGGCCGCCCCCTCCCTATTCTTGGGTGGGGGCTGCTTGACTCCAAAGGAAGTGAAAAGTGGCCCCTTGATGGCTCCGGAAACCAAGGTGCTGGTGGCTTATGAGGCAGGAGCAGAACTGGAACCAGTCAGAAGCCATAATTGATAACGGGCATAACATGGTGGCCCTGTGAGTCCTGGACTGGGGGAGGGGGGTCAAGAGTAGGTGGGTAGAGCCCCTGGCTCCAGTTCTGAATGGCTGGAAAGCTCAGTTCCTTCCCCCCACCCCAGGAGACCCTCAGGGAAGACCGTTGTTGGCCCATTGGGGTGGTGAGGGTGTGGAGCCGGCCATCTTGGGGTGCCGTCGTCATCTCCCGTCTTGCCCAATTTCCAGGAAACACCAAGGACTCCGAGCAGTGGAGAGAACATTGGGAGGAAAAGCAGGAGAGGAGACGGCGGATCAAGCCACGCTCGGTCAGTAAGGAGAAGTGGGTGGAGACCCTGGTTGTGGCTGACACCAAGATGGTGGAGTACCACGGCAGCGAGAACGTGGAGAAGTACGTCCTGACAGTCATGAACATGGTGAGCATTGTGAAAGGTTGCCGGTTGTGGAACAGGCCAAGGGAGGAGGGCTCTGCTCCTGAGAAGAAGTTCGGGCTAATTTGGTTGATTGAAACACCCGGGATGTGTTTGTGGCACAGGGGAGAACCTCCCTTCTCGTGCGCAGAACTCAGTGAGCGACTCCACTTCTTCCATTACGCAGGTGGCCGGTTTATTCCACGATGCCAGCATTGGGAACCCGGTCCACATTTCCATCGTGCGTCTCATCTTTCTGGAAGAGGAGGAGGTAAGAAGAAGAGGAGGAAGACATGACGCAGAGCTCCTTTTACTCAGGAGAAAAATGACAGTGCGCATTCAGTCGCCTCCACTTCCTCTGTTTCATGTTCCTCTGAGATGCTCCATAGTTTGTGCATCCTCTGGTTTCTTCCTGCAGCAATTTCACTGCCTTCTGGCTACTTGAAAGCTGATCCAGACGGCACTAAACTCTTTTCTGCACACAAATTCTTTTGGCTTTGCTATCTTGATGTCTTCCATTTTTTAGGGCAGGGGTGTTTACGTTCATTCAGAGCTTCTGAGATTGGTGAAATCTTTATAGGAGTTCAACAATCTCAGCTTTGGAGGAATGGGGAAAATAATCATAATTAAAGCTATGCATGGCCAATACCTGAAAAGTATTGAAGGCAAAGCTGATCAAAAGCTTACCTGGAACTGGAATACTCAAAAACCAAACTGCAGGCTTTATTTTGGCTGCTCAAGAACAAGCCTTGGCCACAAATTGCATGAAGGCAAAGATTCAGCATGTCACCACCAATAGCAAATGCCGCCTCGGTAATGGAAACAGTTGACCATTTAAACCGTGGGTGCAGCAAAATTTCACAAACTGACTACCTAGAATGCCAGAACTGAGTTTCTAAAATCATTCACTGGAAACTGGGCCAAAAGTTTGGATTTGGGTATAGTAACAACTCTTGGGAGCATCAGGTTGAGGAGGTTCTGGAGAATGAAAAGGTCAAGATCTTGTGGGACTTCAGAATTCAGACTGACAGCCACTTGGCCCACAACACACCTGACATAATAATAGTTGGGGAAAAAAAGGGTTGGCTCATTGACATTGCAATACCTGGTGGTGCACAAATTGAAGACACGCAGCAAGAAAAAAATCACAAAGTATCGGGACTTATAAATTGAAGTTGAGCGACTTTGGAAAAAAGAAATCGTGTATTATCCCAATTGTAATTGGAGCCCTTGGAGCAATACCTAAAGGGCTGCCTCGCTATTTGGAAATTCTGAATTTATCAGACTTGAATACCCTGATTCTACAAAAAACCACCCTATTTAGAACAGCTTGTATCCTCCAATGCTACCCGAACATTAATAATAATAATGATAATAATATACCCTGTTTTGGGTTATAGGTAAAGCTTTTAATTGCTTTTCATGGTTTTCAATGGTTTGTCAGCAATAATAATCATACCAGTGCGACATCTCTGTCCGCTGATTGAGGGTTCTAATTTTTTTTCTGTAGGAGGACCTGAAAATCAGCCACCATGCCGACAATACCTTGAGAAGTTTTTGCAAGTGGCAGAAGGCCCTCAACCCCAAGGGGGATGCTCACCCCTTACACCATGATGTCGCCATCTTGCTCACCAGGTACCCCTGTGATTTCAGTGCCGTCTGTAACACCTCTGCCCATTTCACTGAAAGTGAGGATCGATCCTCTTTGAAGAGAGAACATCTTTGATGGAGGCCGTGCTCCAACACCAGATTGCAAAGGAGTCTTACAGTCTTATTTGGAGATGCCCACTGGACCTGAGATGCATGTTGGTTGCCTTCTGTTTTTGAGCTGGGCCCTTGTTTTTTCCTAGAGTTCTCTAATTGCCCGTTTGTCTTCCTTCAACCCAGCTGGGTCTTGCTCAGTACAGTGATCCTCTCTTTTGTTGTGTATGTGTGCTTCTCTCTGACTCGGAAAGGAAAGATCTCTGCACTGCCATGAACCATCCGTGTGAGACGCTGGGCCTGGCCCACGTCTCTGGCATGTGCCAGCCACACCGGAGCTGCAACGTGAATGAGGACACGGGTCTTCCACTGGCCTTCACCGTGGCCCATGAACTGGGGCACAGGTAAGGTTGCAGCCGGGTATCTTGGCCTGTCCAACGTTAAGGCTGAGCAGAGATTTGCAGAAGTAGATCAGAGCTCGAGAGATTCACATGTCCCAGACCCAGGGAGGTGGTTTACCTCCTCATTGTTCACGGGGTCCTCCAATGGAACCCCCCCACCCACCCAAAGTCTCCCCCTTAAATAAGCTGAGAGGTTTGGGGCTCTGGGGTGAACGCTGTCCAGTTGCTGAGGTTTTTGTCACCTCGTTCCATTCTTTTCTTATGAGCCATGCCAAGGAAATTCTGGAAGAAATCTTGGTTTCGGTTGTGGTTGGCTTACAAGGACTTGGCAGAAAACATTGAAAGCACATCTTCATCTAAAGGGGTGGAGGAGGAGAGACACCAGTGTACAGTTGTAAAACGGACAAAACAATCCCTTTTGCGGTCATAGTGGACAGCCCTAAATCATCCGCTTCCTTCTAAAGCTCCCTTAAGCCACATGCCTGCATAGCATGTAAAAGTCGATGTCGTCCTCTTTAGCGTCCTCAACTGGGATTGGCGACTCCGTCACTAAAGAGAGTGGTTATTAATGGGAAATCACGTGGCCACAACTCTTTCCAGCTGGAAACTTATAAGACTAGTCCGTTTTTGGTTTGTCTCCTAACCAATTTGTCACCCTTTGGAATGCTCACCGGGGCGTTGGAATAATTAAGAAGAATTGAATTAATGTATTTATTTGCATTCATTGCATTCATTGGACATTCGTTACATTCTCAAGAGAGTAAGCAAATATACAGTGGGGATTACACATTGAAAGGAACGCCCTGGTGCCTGCAGCCACCCATGCGCTGATCTATTCCCAGGCTGTTCGTATAATATGCTTGTGGCTACTGGTGCCTGCGCGTTCCGTGCAGCGTGTACTACTCATTGTATATTTTTACGCTTTTGTTGTCCCTTCCTCCAATTTTTCCACTGAGTGAAAGAAAGATGGCCTATAGAAATTGCTGAGGTCTTTTCTCCCCTCCCAGGAGAGCAGAGAGATTGGAGAGGAAGAGATTACAAAGAGAATTAGCAACCTGGGAAATAGACCGAAACCAGTGTGCTGGCACCAGCAGACCCCTAGCGTGTTACACAAGCAGCCCAGTGTATCTTTTTTTTTTATTGTGTGCTTGCTTACTCTTCTATAATAAAAAGGTCAATTGGTAAAGTTATAAAAATGAAACATCGGAGGGAGCTTCCTCTGAGAAAAGCAGCTGCGATTTTCCAAAGGCTTTTGCTTTGCCTGTTTTCTGACCCTGAAACTCTGACCCTGGTGGGGTCCACCTTCAAGCATGGTCTACAGGACCTCTCTAGGACTTCGCCTTGGAACCTAACAAAGCTGGCTGAGGAATTCTGGGAATTGAAGTCCACAAGTCTTAAAGTGGCCATGGTTGGAGACCCTCGGTCTAGACCAGTGTTTTTCAACCTCAGCAATTTTAAGATGTGTCGTCGGTCCCTTCTCCTGGAATTCCTTAGCCACCTCATGAAAGGCCTTTGCGAGTTGTTTGGTTCTAAGCGTAGTTCTGGTGATCCTTCCTGGGTGGCTTTCCAGCCCCCCATCCCATCCCAGTAACTCCCATTGACACAATTGCCACCCCATCTCCTGCCCCCGGGGTTGCTGCTTACCCTTTTCAGCCACACTCAAAAGGAGACGTGCCTCACTGACACGGGCCTTGGCCAGCGGGGTCTTGCCTTCACTGATAGCCACCATCTCCAGAGATGTAGGCGTAGATCCGTGATGGCGAACCTATGGCACGCGTGTCACAAGTGGTACACAGAGCCATTTGTGCCGGCACGCGAACCGCAGGCAAACCTACCTCACTGCACATGAACACGCTTCACAGCTGATTTATCTACTAGTTTCAGGCCTTTTTCGGCCTCCCAGAGGCTTGGAAAAAGCCTCTGCAAGGCTTTTCAGGTTGAATAGGTCCATTTCGTCACTTCCTGTAATACCGGAAGTGACGAAACGGGTGTATTATTCAGCCAGAAAAGCTTTGCAGAGGCTTTTTCTAAGCCACTGGGAGGCCGAAAAAGGCCTGAAACCGGCTGAAAAATCAGCTGTGAGGCGCAGTGCAGGTAAGGGGGTAGTGGGGGGCAGTGGCCAGGGGATTGTGCATGCATGCACAAGGGCGTGGGGGGGGGCGCATTGAATTCTGGCTGCTGGCACATGAGTGCGCGTGCGTTAATGTGCGTGCAATTTTTGGCACAGGAGCCCCAAAAGGTTAGCCACCACTGGCGTAGATGGAGAACCCTCTCCCCTCCCGGCACTCTTGTTCGGTCCGCTGGGGAAGGCCTCCTTCGCAGGGTGTTTGATGGGTGGGGGGCTGTCATTCTCTTGCTCCTGCAACCTGCTTCCCGGCCCTTCCTTGGCCTCCCCAGAGAACTCTGGGAGTGATGCTTCGACGGTCCTTTGCACACGTGTGTCTCACCTCCTCTGGGGGCTCTGCCTTTTGCAGTTTTGGGATTCAGCACGACGGCAGCGGCAATGACTGTGAGCCAGTTGGGAAAAGGCCTTTCATCATGTCTCCGCAGCTCCTGTACGACACTTCGCCCCTCACCTGGTCTGTCTGCAGCAGGGAATACATCACACGCTTCCTTGAGTAAGTCAGCCGCCACCCCCACCCCCGCCCGTCTTCCACAGCAGCCCCCACAGGAGGCACAGTCCCCATCAGTTGGAGAGGGGAGGGTCTTGTCCTGGAGCCGCGTCCGCCTTCTGATTGCAGGGGGGTCGGGTTCTGCCTGCCCCTGCCCTGGCTCTCCAGGAAACCCCTTCGCCGGCTGTGGGGAGAGGGTGGCCGGAGGGCTTTGGCTTCTGCCCAGAGACCACCAGCAGCCCAGACCGCCTGTCGACCAGCAAGGGGGAGTCTCTCCCACTGAACAGCTGACCATTGGGAGGGAGGAAAAAGGAAGAACTGGGTGGGGGAGAATGCACTCAGCGATGTCTCGCATGCGCCATAGGGACTGACTAGGAGTGGAGGGGAGGGGAGGGGAGGGGCGGGCGGAGAGGGCTGGGCCAGGAATTGCCAGTTCTCTGAACTGTCCAGAATCATAACAACCGGTTCTATAGAACCAGTTGGAACCAGTAGGATCCCACCCCCGTATTCCCCCCCCTCTCTTTCTCTTTCTCTCTCCCCTGCTTATTGACGTGTCTCTTTGCAGCCGGGGCTGGGGGCTTTGCCTGGATGATCCCCCAGCCAAGGATGTGATCAACTTCCCCTCGGTTCCACCGGGAGTCCTCTACGACGTCAGCCACCAGTGCCGACTCCAGTATGGCGCCTACTCCACCTACTGCGATGACATGGATGTAAGGAGGGGGGGGGGCATGACGCCCTTGGGGGAAAGCCTGTCTGAGGAAGAGGGCCCATCTCTGGCCAGAAGCGTTTCTGGACCCCCCCAGGGGGTCAGCCAATGACTTTGGTCACCTGAAGATTCTGTGGACAAACCTTCAAGCCGAGGTCTCCAACCTTGGCCCCTTTAAGACTGGTGGGACTTCAACTCCCAGAATTCTCCAGCCAGCACAGGAGTTGAAGTCCACCAGTCTTAAAGGGGCCACATTTGGGGGCTCCTGACTTAAAGTGACCAAGGCTGAGAAACCCTGGAGCAGAGAACATATGACGCATGGATTTCTACACCCGCTGTTGCCTTTAAAAGCTTGCAAAAATGAATTGGAAACATTGCTTGAATTAAATTGCAAAAACTGTCCGTATTCCAGAGAGCAGCAGGGGAGAGCAGCCTCCCACCCCCAAGGCCTGGGTCTGTCCGGAATACAGCCACATTTTCCTTAGCAAGGACGGCCCGAACCTTCCTCCTCCTCCTCCTCCTCCTCCTCCTCCTCCTCCTCCGCCCACTGGAAGAGGAACCTCCTCAAGCGTCCTGGCACCACTTGCTCCTCCTCCCTGCCCAGCAGACCACGAATTCAGAGCGTTTCCTTTCTTCCCGCAGAGTGTCTGCAACACCCTCTGGTGCTCTGTGGGGAACACCTGTCATTCCAAGCTGGACGCAGCTGTCGATGGCACCAAGTGTGAGGAGAACAAGGTACGGAGCCCATCTCTGGGCCAGAGAACCTCAGCCCCGAAGCTGCTCCCCAAATGCCATGTTTGGCTAAAGCATGCCATGACACAGTGGTGGGATGCCAAGAGTTTTACCACCAGTTCAGTGGACGTGGCTTGGTGGGTGTGCTTTCAACTCGCCTCCTGCAAGCCTGCTCTCTCCCAGTTGCTTCAGGAGACTCCAGGTCAAAGAGGACCATGAAAGCACAGGGGATGGTTCCTCCATGGCCATTTAAGGTCCTGAGCTGGTCGTCTTTTGTCATCGTCGTATTCATGTCGGAAATACTGAGGCGCTTCCGGCTGAAAGGATAGACCCATGGGTCCCCAAACTTGGCCACTTTAAGATTTGTGGACTTCAACTCCCAGAAAGCTATGCTGGCTGGAGAATTCTGGGAGTTGAAGTCCACAAGCCTTAAAGCTGCCAAATGTGAAGACGTCCGGATTAACCGGTGACATCATTGCTGCCCAGGGGACGTCCAGGTGGGGGCTCCTTTCTCATGTCCCCAAATGAGCTCACCTGTCAAATGGTACCTGTTTATCCACTCTGCTTGCCGGGGTTGGCAGGAACTGGGGCGAAGGACGGGACCTCACTCAGCTGCACTCGGGTCTTGAATGTTGTCGGCCCAGCATTCTAACCCCATGAGCACTGAGCTCCTTTTAGCTGGTGGTCTTTGATGGAGGGACTGAGACTTCCAGCTAGCTGGAAAAGATCCCCTGCTCCTTCCGGGAGCCCCCCGCCCCTCCAGACCTCCTAGTCCCTGATGGGCCTCTGCTTGTTTCAGTGGTGCTTCAACGGAGAGTGTGTGAGCATTGGGTACCGCCCAGAGCCCGTCCATGGAGGCTGGGCAGCCTGGAGCCCCTGGACCGGCTGCTCCCGGACTTGTGGGGCTGGAATGCAGAACGCAGAGCGGCCGTGCAACAATCCTGCGTAAGTGACTGGCCAGCTGCCCATGACGCGGGGTCCACAAAGGGAGTCCAGCTGCCCTGTCCAGCTGCCTTTCCGCTTCGGCCCCTTGGCCTCTGATGGGCATCTCTGTCTTTGCTTTGAGTGAGGGGAAGGTCATGAGCCCCAAAGGTGGCCTTCCTCCGGTTGTGCATGCCCAGCAATCCTGTGGCGCTGGGTTCCAAGAGCTCACAGGAGCAGAGGCTGGTTCTTCCTGGCATCCAAAGAATATATTTCCACATGGGGTGCTTTGAGTAGCCAGTTGTCCTGGTTCCCAAGCAACATCGGGCGATTTGCATGTTTCCCCCATTCCTGCTTCCATTTCAAAAGAGGGGGCGCAGCTGTTTGGGGCGGCACTGGCAGAGGTCTTAGGGTCAAGATTTGGGAGGAGATAGTTCAGGTCAGACCAGCCCGGAATCCTGTGTCCAGTTCAGGTTGTCACAATCTAAAAAGAAGGCCGAGAAGTTTGGAAGAATGTAGATCAGGGGTCTCCAGACTTGGCCACCTTAAGACTTGTGGACTTCAACTTCCAGAATTCTCCACCCAGGGGGTCGGCCAATGACTTTGGACTTGATTAGAGCAGACTTTCCTAAGCTTGGTCACCTTCAGATTTTGTGAACAAACCTTAAAGGTCTCCAAACTTGGCCACTTTAAGACTTGCCAGAATTCTCCAGCTAGCACAGCTGGAGAATGCTGGGAGTTGAAGTCCACAAGTCTTAAGGTGGCCAAGTTTGGAGACCTCTGATGTGGAGAGAGGACCAAGAGGGTGAGGGGATTGGAAGCTCAGCTGGTGAAGAACGATGAACGGAACTTGGAAGAAGAGAATGGGAAGAAGGGCAGACAGGAAGGAGAGGGCTCTTCCAGGACAGGAGGAGATGTGCCAGGGCGGAGAGATTGGAGAACTCCAAGAAAAGATTGGTCAGCCATTAGTTTGGAGTGGTAAGAAGAGGCTCCTGTCTTGGGAAGAAGGTTGGACATAAAGTCCCTCCCAACTGTACGATTCTTGGTTGTTTTTCCAGCGGGCAGAACCCAGAATTGGTGAGGAGAAGGAGGAGTCGAGAGTTGGCCGAGCTCTGCAGAACTTGCAGGCCAAGTTCGACTCCTCCTTCTCTTGCCCTGGCCCTTTCCCACACCCATCCCCCGAGCAATTCCCTCTCTCCTGTCTTCAAGGGGAGGGGCTCCGGTCACTGGCCGGAGAGAGGAAGGCCTGGGGAGGTTGGTTCAGTTCCTGGCAGGAAGCCCATTTGGCGGGGAGACCCCCTTGGGGAGTACAGTTCCTTCCCTTCTCCAAGTGAACATTTCCTACTGAATATTGCAGGACAGGAAGTTTTTTGTAGCATTGGACACAGTCTGTCCAGCCGGCTCTTCTTCCTGGCTTTAAGGCAGCCTTGTGAGCGCAGAGAAGAGCTCCCGCCGAAAGTATTCTCCTTCTTGGGCATGTGATAGGAATCTCTTGGCCACAGAAAATGCCAAGAACCGCTGCCAGGTGCCCCCGAAAGAGTTGGGGAGGTCAACGGTTGACCTCCGGGACAATGGCTGGCCTCCTCTCCCCTCTGCCTCCCTTCTGGCCTTCAGCCTTTTCGGGGAATCGGCACCAGTTTGCTTAGTTGGGCGGACTGGTGAGGATGGTTTCTTCTTCAAGCAGATGAGTTGGTTTTCCTTTCCCATCCTCAGCCCCAAGTATGGCGGAAAATACTGCCTGGGAGAACGGAAACGCTTCAGGGTCTGCAATGCACAGCCGTGTCCGGCCGACAAGCCCTCTTTTCGGCAGATCCAGTGCAGCCGTTTTGACCACCGGCCCTACAAAGGGAAGCTTTACAAGTGGAGCCCAGTCCCCAATACCAGTAAGCTGCCCTCGAGCGTCTGTCCAGAGTGAGGTGGTGTGTGAAATACAGGCCTGTACATTGGGGTAACCGCCAGAAGGGAGCATTTACCCAGCGGTTCCCTATGGGACTTACCTGTTGCCCAGGTGGCTCTTAGGGTGCCCTTACTGCAGGTGCAATCGGTCACAAAGCTCCCCTTTTCCAGAAGATTTACTAACACTCCAGGATGTGCTCTCATCCCACAGACTCCCGAGGACTCTGTGAGCTGGATCAGGAATGCCGTCCATCCTCTCAGGGCTCCATAACTGGAGGTTCTCAAAGAAAGATTGGGAAATCCTCTGTCTGGGACGAGCCCCTTCCTTGGGCAGGGAGTTGGCTAGAAAACCCCCATGTCTCTTCCAGCCCTGTGTGTGATGACCCGGGCTGGGATACAAAATAAACACAATCACACAAAACAGGGGAAGCCCCTTTTATTCCTTCACTTTGCTTCCAAGCTCCAAATATCCTTGACTGGAGACAAAAAACTCCCCCACAAGCAGTTACAAGAAGGAGGAAATGCCCCTTAAATTATAAAGAGTAAAAAACAACACAAACCAGGCAAGATAAGGGCTGGAGGACGTCCACAGATAACAGAACACACACTGGGAAGGACACCAAACTCAGAGAGGAGGTTTATTGTTCCTCTTTCTTTCCAGCACTGGCCCAGACGCATGTCCGTCCTTTTATCACTGTCACAGCTGCAGCCCGTGAAGAGGATCAAGGCCCTCTCCTCCCAAATAGACCACGTCTCTCCCTTATCCTCTCCTCCCTGCGTGCCCTAGGATGGAGAGGGGATGGGCCTGGGTCCTCCTCTGACTGCGCAGGTGGCCTCTGCCCTTCCCCAGCCTCCTCCACAACCTCCGGAGCCACACTTCTACTCCCTGTTGGCTGTTCCTCCTCTCCCTCAGAGCCAGTCTCCACCAGGGCCAGGGCACTGTGACTCTATGATAAGAAAGAGCCCAAATCCATCACCCATCGCCCAGAGTTGGGCTGGTGCCTGGGGGCACCGGATCATCTGTATCCTTGACTGCTTCGGAGTCACTTCTGGGAGTCGTGGTGTCTCTTCCTCATCGGGGCGTCTGTACTGGAGCAAGCCATGCTGACGGGCCTGGGGCCAGAGACCCTGAGCCATCAGGCGCTCTCCTGTCTCTGCAGGCAACCCTTGCGAACTGCACTGTCGGCCCAACAACGAGTACTTTGCTGAAAAGCTTCACGACGCTGCCATTGATGGCACCCCGTGCTACGAAGGGAACGGCAGGCGGGACAGGTGCATTAACGGGATCTGTAAGGTAGGCGTGTGGGGGTATTGTCTCACCCCCCCCACACACACACATGTATGTAGTATGCTCATAAATTCTCTATATTGAGGGTGAGTGGTGAAGGCAGTGGTTCTGTCAGCGCAACAGGCGTCCTCTGGCGTAACTCAGAAGGGCTGCCTCGGTTACTCCAGTTGCCCACCTGCTGTGATACCCCGAGTCACCTGGGCTCGCTTTCCCTAAGGCATCAGCCCAGAGATGCAAAGAAGGCGGCCTGGGGTGGCTGGATGTGACCCAAGGGACAACCCAGTAGCCTGCCAGCTCTGCCCCTTCCTCGGGGGCTCTTCCCAAGCAGACAGGCTGCTGAAACGGAATCCTCTGGGACCCCCTTTGGATAGTCCTCAGGCAAGGCTGAGCACGGAGGGCTTTTGTATTTCACCTGTGCAGGTAACAAAAAGTCCCTGCTCTTCATTGGCAAGGTGAGAGGGGATGTTCACCGCTTTGGTCCTTGGAGAGGGCCTTTGGCTTTGGGGGGCGCTTCTATGAGTAGGGTCACTACTGCATGGGGAGCAGCACGGCTGCTGCTCTCGAGGGAATGAGTGCGGGGGGGGATGTTCCTTCCCGCCCCGAAAAGAGCTGCCACCAAGGGAACGCGTGTTTCTCGAGGGGCACCCTGGACGCCCGGCCAGCCGGCCAGGTCTCTCCCAGCGGGGGCTGAGGAGGCCCTCCCATCTCTTCCAGAACGTTGGTTGCGACTATGAAATTGACTCCTACGCTGTGGAGGACCGGTGTGGTGTGTGCCACGGGGATGGATCCACCTGCCGGACAGTGAAGAAGACCTTTGAGGAGAGCGAGGGGCTGGGTGAGTGCGCTTTCATTTTGGGGAGGCCGGGGCAGGCGGGAGACGGTTTGTGAATTCTTGCCATCCTTTGCTCCTCTGTAAAACTTGAATTCTTAATATTGAGTTGAATTCTTTATTGTCATTGTTCGTATATACACAGCATGCATACAACGAAATTCACATAACACCCAGAGACCAGGCTCACCATGCCTGCACACGTGACAATCCCCAAACACCTCCCCACCCGCCCCCTAAAAACACACAAGCAAAAAAAAAAAGAATTTTATCAAAAATGAAATAGTTTTTAATCACTTTTTGATTTTTCTTTTACTCTTACTTCTTTTTTCTTTTTCTCTCTTCTCTCTTTTACTTCTCAACTCTGTTTCTCTTCTTCTTTTCTACATTTGTGTATGTGTTGTTTATTTTAATTGTAAAATGAATAAAGGTTGTTTTTTTTAAAAATACACCAGCATCCACACAGCAGACCATGTAATCCTGTCCAACAGTTCGCTGACGGTGGCCCTGAAGTTCGTTGTTAAGTGCAATTATAGTTCTGGGATAAAAACTCTTCAGGAAACGTGTGGTCCGTGTTGCTGTGACACAAGGGATTTAGAACCAGTGAGGATGTGGGGGAGAGGCGCTTGAAAGGCAGGGGTCCCAAGGGATTTGGGCAGGAAGTGGATCTCATGGACGTGGCGAGGCTGTTGCTTCCCACGAAATGAAGGCTTGCGTGTCTTCCTTTGCGGGATTTCCTGGCCTCTTGCAAGCTCTGGGGAAAGTAGCTCTGCACTTTTTCCAGGGGTGGTTTGGCTGCCCTGAGAGCCGTTTCCCTTTGGGCTAGACAGGCAGGAGACATTCAGGGGGGCTCCCTGCGCAGCCGTCAGAGAAAGCGAGAACTTTGCGATGTTGCCTGCTGGTGACAAGCATTCAACATCCCAACAGGTTACGTCGATGTTGGCCTGATCCCGGCCGGAGCACGTGAGATCCAGATCGAGGAGGTGGCCGAAGCAGAGAACTTCCTGGCTTTGAGAAGCGAAGACCCCAAGAAATACTTTCTGAACGGGGGCTGGACCATCCAGTGGAATGGGGACTACAAGGTGGCTGGGACCACCTTCACCTACAAGAGAATGGGGAATTGGGAAAACCTGACCTCTCCTGGGCCCACAGAAGAACCGGTTTGGATTCAGGTAGGCAGAAATGGCGGCTGGGGTGCTGGAGGGCAGCAAACTCCATCTGTAGGTCCCTGCTTGGGCAAGGCTGTTTGTTTGCAGGCCACGCGGGTAAAGCCGAAGCGGCTCTTCATGCTGAGAGACGAGGAACGATTGACGGCGGTTTCTTCTTTCTGCTTGCTCTAAATCCGGGGTGTCAAACTGAAGGCCCACAGGTTGCTTAGATACGGCTTGCGAGGCCGCCCTGGAAACGGTGAAGGTCCACCTTGTGGTGCCTCTGCCAGTGAAAACGGCTTGGGTCTTTCCCAATCACCGATGTCAATGTGGGGACCACTCTGAGACCCTGAGGATAATAAACCTCATGAATCCAGGATGCTACCCGGGGGTTGATTTTAAAATCAACCAACACTCTCGGTTTGGAGGGAAGGAAGGCCTGGGTTTAAAGAATCGGGGGACTTTTTAAACCTCCCTGGGAGGAGTCTGCTTGGACCGGGTTGCCTTCCAGCCAAGGGACCATGTTCCTCTGCCGCATAGCCACTTGGGAGATCCAGAACAAAGGGAGTGACTGAAGAGACCATCCTGGGTGCTGGTCAGATCCCTTCCACCCATGTAGCTAGTCCTGCTGTTGCCCAAGGACTCCGAAGCTCAAATCCCCCTGAGACTCACCAGCAAGAGCCGAACCCTGCTAGACTCCGTCCTTCCCAACTTCCCCACTTCCCGGATGGGGATTTGACCGGCTGTGAAGAACCTTGGAACAAGCTTCCCTCCCCTTTCCTCCCCCTCAGGAAGAGCCAGATCTATGTTTATCTTGTGGAAAATACCTCACTGGTCAAAGGAGCACATCCCCCGCTCCGTTGGAAATTGGAAGGGGCGTTAATTCGTGGGATTAGGCCATGCCCGGTGTTTTGGGGAGGCCTATTGTACGTTGTGTAGAGAGGCATGGAGGGAAGGAATAAGGCATCCTCACACAAACCCCCGGGAGCCGCTCTGGAAGGGAAGAGGCTCAGGATAATCCCTTCCTGGATCAGCGGGGTAAATAAGGAAGGGAGGAAAAAGACAGCCCGGCTTGCAAGATCCTGTTTCTAGAGCTTGTCTTCAGTAAAGCAGGTCTTCTTGGGAAGTCTGTTCAGGGGGCCGGACAAATGTGAAAAGGACACCCCAATATTCCTTCGGAGCTGGAAAGGCAGTGGGGGTATCCAACCGGTTCGGCCCAGTTCTGGTAGGAGCGATGAGCAGCAGTGAAGGAACCAGCTTTCTCCACCGCTCTCCTCTTGGGCCCACCTGCCTGCCTGGGCTCCCAGACTCACCTTTATCCTCTGAATTTGAAGCACGGCTGCTTTGCGCGGCCGCGTGGCAGCTGCTGAAGCGACCGGGATCGTGCAGGCTTGCAGGAGGCGAGTGAGAAGGCCTCTGTGCCTGTGTCAAGGGCGCGTTTGGCACATGCGCACGTGCAAAGTGTGTGCACACGTGCAAAACACGCCCACCAAGCCACGCCCAGCAAACTGGTGGCAAAAATATGTGAATCCCACCACTGTGGAAAGGGCTTCCCCCGAATGGGAGCCTGCCTCCTTCTAGCCCTCCTGGTCTCCCCCACCCCACCTAAAGTCAAGTCCATGTGTGGCTTCACTGTAGTTCAGGGGTCTCCAAACCTGGCAACTTAAAGACTGGTGGACTTCAACTCCCAGAATTCCTGAGCTCACGTGACTGGAAGACTCCCATGCTGGCTGGAGAATTCTGGGAGTTGAAGTCCACCAGTCTTTCAAGGTGCCACGTTTGGGGACCCCTGTCTTGGCTCAACCTGTGTTTCTGCTTGCCCTCAGCTCCTGTTTCAAGAGAGGAACCCAGGGGTCCGCTATCAGTACACCATCCAGCAGGAGACCCAGAATCAGAGTTCGGTTGCTCCCCCCGAGTTCTTCTGGCACTATGGACCCTGGACAAAATGCACAGCTACCTGTGGGACAGGTGAGGACTTGGGCAGCAAGCTTGCTTTCTCGGTGGCCTGAGCAGTAGCAGCAACTGTCTAGCTGCAAATCCAATTGGACTGGCTCTTGTATTGGGGCAGTCCAGAAAACCGTGTGTGCGTGTGTGTGTGTGTGTGTGTTGAAGGGGCCCAGGGGAGACAGCATCCTGCACTGCAAATGCTTTTCTTAAAAGAACCCTCAGGATCAGGATAGGATCAGGAGCTTCTGATATTCCAGGGTCTGTTTTTGAGGCACCAGACCAGTCAAACCTCCTGTGACGGTGCAGGAAGCTTTAAGACCAACAGGGTTGCCTCCAGAAACACTGCAGGGCAGGAAGGGTGAGGCCGAGGCTCCGAGGTCCTGCCCAGGTGGCTTCGGCTGCTGCCTGATGGGGTGCAGCCCCCCCCCGTGTCTGACGTGCGGCTCTTCTTCTCATTTCTTCTGCTGGGGAGGAAGGCTAACGATGAAGGTAGCTGCGATGAGGAGGATGGAAGGGGAAGTATTTGGCAACACGAGGGCGATGGCCCACCAGGCACCTTCAGTTCATGGTTGGGACCAGCCATTCCTCGGGGTTTTCTAGCCTCGTGGGCCTTCATTGTCTGCCAGGGGAGATCACGAGGCAAACCGAGAAAGACACTCAGAGGCCTGGGGAGAAATGCACAGTCCTCGCCCCTCCCTGGCTGTTGCCTCTGGACTTTTCGGTACTCGTAGGAAACTTCAGCCCCCTGGTAATTGAAGAGTTACTTCAGCTGGTTTGGGTCCAGAAGCGGGGGCCCGGTGTAGAGAAGAAGTGGCTTCTCCGTTCCTTGGAGCCTGCCAATGCATCGCCCTGTTTCAAGGTTTGCGTAGGAGGCTCTGACAGTCAGAGGTTGGCAAACCGCTCTGTGTTTTTGGCTCAGACACTCCCACCTGCAGGGTCATCGGACTGGCCGCTGGGGCCTTCGGAGGGCCAGAGGGCGGGGGGGGGGGAGAAGCAAGCCGGGGAGTGGCGTTAGCTGACCTCAAACGGCAGGTCAGGGGGGCTTTCCTGATTTTCATGCGCAGATGCATCCTTGGGAAAAAGCCGCACACTCACAAGTGGGCTCTGACCGGGGACTGATAGAGAAAGAGATCTTGGACCGGTGGCAGAATTCAACGGAGGGGTTGGCGGGGTGTGTGAAAAAGGGCAACAAGACGACGCGTGTCACAATGCCGTGATACAAACCGATGGTGCGACTCCACCTGGAACCCTGTGTGCCGTTTTGGTCACACAACTCAAAAAGGATAGAGTGGAACTAAGGGAGGTTCTGAGGTGACCCAGGGGTTGGAAAGGTCGAAGAAAAGCTCTTTAATCTAGAAACAAGGCAGCTGAAAGGGAAAATGATTCAAATATATGTATGTATGTGTGTGTGTGTGTGTGTGTGTGTGTGTGTGTG